ATTTTATGCAGTGCCATGAATGACATTGTTGGAGCAGACGGACATTCGTTTCCCAGAATACCAAATTATGGTTCATTGCAGTCGTTGTAAGTTATCTAGTATCCACCAATTTGTCCTGGCGTAATTCATTTGCTCATGATTTCTCTATTACTTTCCTTATTTCGTGAAAATCTAATTCTTTCCAGGACATTGAGGAAATGTTCACTCACTGGTCCAATTCCTGATCATATCTGGAAGTTGAAATCCTTGACTTACCTGTAAGACCCCAAACCATAATTAATTTATTTTGGCTCTCAATTAAGCCCTTTGAACAAAAAGAAGCTTGGTCTGGTTCACCAGGCAGTGAAAACTGAATAGGTCTTCGGTTCACTTGAGAGAGAGTAAGGGTCTGTTTGATAACATAAAAAAGTGTTGAATGTAAATTTTTTCAGACATTCAGATGTTTTGAGTATTTGATAAATGAAAATCCATTTGCTGAACTTGTTAAGTAGTGCTGAACTTTGTGTGTATTTTTTTCAACACAAAAATCCTTACTGAATGCTTAATGCTGATAAGAATCAATAGAATTACTTCAATTATTTTATCTTATCTACCAAATCTACCCTTGTTTGTTAATTATGTTCAAAATTCTTATCTAATTAAACAATCTAATATTCTCTATCTAATGATTTTCTATTTCTTTTTTTTTTCTTTTGGAATGATTTTCACATCTTCTTTATACTCCTCATATAATATATTTCATCTTTTATATTAATTTGATTTAAAAATATATATTATCATTTCCATACCTAACAATTTTAGCTAATTAAATCATAGGTTATGAAAAAAATATAAGGGTAAATTTGTCAAATTTAACTTATTAAGCATTCAGTTATAAATATTTATCAAACAGTATAACTAGGGTTAGTATTAAAATTCAGACATTCATATATTTCTTTTCAGTACTTAAAATTCAGCAAATTAATTGTTTCAGTATTCAGATTTCAGAATTCAGATTCAATTTTATCAAACGGAACCTAAGACTGTTCGACAAAAGTAGTTGTTTCATGTATTTTATCTTTTAGTATTCCAGCTAAGTGAGGCGGGAACCAATACCCCCCCCCCCCCCCCAAAACAAAAAAAAAATTCAGAAATCATTTTAAAAGTTCTCAAATAAAATTAACAATTTTGACACATATCCTTGCAGAAATCAGACTTTTCCTTTCCAAGGTTTTAGAAATCTATTTACATTTTCTTGAAACATAAATATAAGACTTTGCCCTTGAAGGTTTACAATTACATCCTGTCTAACATAAGACTCTGCAATCCCCTGCCACCCCATGCACCCAACCAATCGCCCAAACCCTTTACAAAAGTATAGGAAGACATCCTTGAGTATATATACATCTTTACCAATCTCGTCGTCCAATCTCAATTTGTGGTTCACCCAGTGGTCTGAAGCTAGGACTTAGTGAATGATATAAGAGACATCAGAGAGAGAGATGATTTTTGTGCATTCAATCCTTGTGATATGTTTTTTAGGTATATGCCATTAGCAAAATCTTTTGGTGTGCATTCAAATTTCTGACTAAATGGTCAAATTCTGCTCATTGATATTTCTGAATATCAATTTTTCTTTCTATAGGATGAATTATGAGAATGATTCAATTGCCGCAGACTTACCTGAGACTTTGAAAGCCATTAAGAAATCAACCCTATGTTCATATTTTTGTAGGACAAGTCCACTATGGACGGACTTGACAAGCACGTAGGAAAATATTTCACATTCATTATGACTCGTTTCCATCGATGTAGAATATTGCCAGTTAAATATTTGTGGAACTTTACATTCTTCCCATCCTCTTGCCCCTTTCTTTTGAAACAACAGGACACATGAATGCAGGTTGTAGTTTCCTTATTTCCAACATCAATATTATGCTAGTTCTAAATTTGCCGTTTGCCTTCTATACATATCAAAGATAAATGGCTTGCATTTTTATACTTTACTTCGTGTTTTACTGTTGTAGGGACTTGAGTTTCAACAGTTTGGTTGGAGGAATTCCACCGGATGTGGATTTGCCAATCATACAGCACATGTATGGATCTTTTTCTCTAAGTTCTTTATTAATTTATCTATTTTTTATATACCAAGAAGCCCATATTCTTCCTATTTCACTCCCTCGTTAATTGCAATCTCCGCATATCTTTCATTCAACACATATATACATTTTTTTTTAACATAGTTATTGTAGCATGTGTTTATTAGGGCTTTCTAGCATATCTTTATCTGTTCAAGCTTAATGACTTCATTATGCTTCTTTAATATTAAGAACTGAATTATTTCTTTTCCTAGCATGAATTATTCATTGGATCAACTAGTCTCAATTTCAACCATAAGGGGAAAAAGCTCTTAATTTGTTGGTTAAGTTTTCTTACTTTCTACTGTCTGGCACTCATATATATGTAAATTTGTCATAACATTACGCTTACCAGCATCTATCCATGGTGCAAGCCTCTCTAGGTTACGCGTTTTCAAAATTTACTATCAATCTACCTACGTTTTACTTCTTCTGCTCTGCTTATCTTTTCAAATTACCTATCTATATCGTTTTGCCAATTAATAGAATCAAAAGTAAGCAAACTATTGTGAATTCGTTTTCTTCGGTTTTAATTCCTATAGTGCTGTTTCTGTGTAGGATTTAGTTACATGCTGATGATGGTAGAATTATGTCGCTACACGGTATATGACAATTTCCTCCAGGACTTAAAAAGCCGCAATACAATTTTCCTATTGCAATATAAAAAAATTCTTCCAAAAACAATTTTGAATAATTTTAGTTGTGATCTTAAAAAAGAGAAAAATGAAAAGTAGTTAACCCATGTCTGATGTCTCATATTTATAATTTTAATGAATTAGCATATCTTTAACATAAGTACCTTCAATGAATATGCACCTCTTAATTAGTAGGGGTTTCTTCATAAATGAGCACTCTTTTAATCAGTGGCATCTTCTTAGAATTAACAAGTACAACAACTATTGATTGTTAAATTAATTATTTGAAAATTAATAAATATTAATTTGATGCTTTGAAGGCCCAAGTGGCCATAGGACCTCAATGAATTTGATGCTTAATATTTAATCCAACATCGAGTAAAATATATGGACAATTGTTGATGCCAAAACTGGCCCAACTATTAACGGCAAAAGTTAGCCAATTCGTTTTGCTTGAATATGACCTGTAAAAAATGATAGAGATTTGTTCCTTGTAAAAACTCGATGCTTGAATCAGTACTTGATTAAATGCAAAACAAAACTAACCTCCTCTTTGATGATGTGTTGAGATGGATGTTAATGGGCCATTTATACTTGTGAGCTTGGAACCTTTTCTGAGCCAAAATCTTTCTCAGGGCTGGGGCTCCGATGTCCTATTTCAAGGTTTGTTAGAATAATTTTGGTCCCAACAATAATGATCATAATGATGACAATTTCTAGGATTATTGCAAATGAAATCGATTGCTTATTTATTTATTAACATTCAATAAGATCTATACTATCCTACTCTATAGGAGAGAAGGAATTTAATTGGGTTGTATAAAGAGTTAAAGAAAAAGCAGGACCATTTAGACCAAAAGAGTGGTCTGGCACGCCGTTAAATTTTTTTTAATTGCATAATACGAGATTTGAACTTCTTGACCTACGTATCAAGGAGAGATTTTTAATTCTTTTTGTTAATGAACTTGTATAAGACAAGTTGGTTTTCTAGAAGAAAAGTCAATGGTAGTTGATTCTTGAAAATCTAAGCCGAAAGTGCGTACGGAGTTTTGAGCAAAGGGTCTGGAAGTAGGAAGGTGATTGAGATCATGGTTTTGAGGCCTTATCATTTGAAGTGTACATATATATATATATATGTGTGTGTGTGTCTTTGGTGAGTGTTACCTAAGTTTTGATTTATATAAATAAACAATCAAAAAGCTTAACTACATCACTTAACAGCAGCAAAGTAACAATCTGCATAACTTTCTAATTCGACCATGTTATCAAGCCATTAATTCATATCAATTTCCTGGCCACTTCAATTTGCAGAACCTTTTAAGCACGATAGTGTTTCAATGATTACCATAGCATAGTATGGCATACATTTGGATTTCTTAGTTGATTCGTAATTACTGGTTATACTTTCTCAAGTGCAACTAAGCCAGTGAGAAATGAGTAGTAGTATACATTGTGGTTGTTATGGTATCAAACTGGCTCTAATAAATGCATTTCTTGATGGTGTTTGACAGATTTCTTAGAAGAAATAACCTGAATGGGTCTCTCCCTGTGTGGCTGACAGAATTGAAGAGTACACATGTGTATGTACTTGTTTCCTGAAGTCAAATTCTTCTCGGCACTAGACATGAAAGAGGCCACTTTATCTTAAACAGAATGTTAAACAAAAGTTTGTTTATTCTTTTTGTTCCAATAGTCATGGTAAAGGTATATACCATCCTTCTCAGATGGTAGCCAAATACTTTTTATTGAATCATAGAAGCGCATGAGGACCTTAAGCCTTTACTTTCCTGACACATGATTTTATCAAAAAGTTATAACAGCTCTTGAATGTAGTGGAATATATTCATTTTCTTCAATAGTGCTGAAGAATTGCAAAATCGAGCGAAACTAATAAAGCACCAAGTATCTTGAAAAAAGAAAAAAAATTTCATGCTTATTTTCTTTTCACAAATTTTTTAAGTCAGGGAAAACGGATCATTGGAGGAGCATCATGACTGGTGAAATTCTCTACATTTGTATCTTCTGTCAGATTCCATATATTCTTTTGCTTGGAATGAAGTTTCTAAACATGCAGATTTGTTTCACCTCTTTGTAGGTTTCAAGTTAATATAGCAATCTTTAATGTACTCTAGTAGTGATCATCAAACATTTGCAGGGATGTTTCCGAAAATTCTTTCACAAACGTGACAATACCTGAAGATGCCTTTTCTCCAAGAAAGTGAGATAAACTAATCCATTTGAATTTTCTCGTACACTTATCAACACTCACGTACATGTTTATGTAACATTCTTTGCTCACTCTACTTTGTGTTAGTTTTCAGTAGATTTCATTTTTTTTCCAGGAACTTTTTTGCTTGCTGTTCTAAAGTAAACACTGAGTAAGTTGTTGCCTTCTCATTTCATTTCTTTTTTGCTCAAGAAAATTTGACGTAGATAACCTTTCTTGTGTCTTCCTATACAGGGGTATGAATTGGCTTGAAACTAATTATTCTTGTGGCAATAGCTCAAAGAGATGTAAGTTCATCAATTTTTTTTTTCCGAAAGCACAATAAACACTTTCTTGACCTATTTTGATGGTAGCATTTAAATTACAAGCAAAAATGTGGTATTAACAAAGCAAATTCCCACCCTGTTGGCCTTTTGTCAAAGCACTATTAATACTTCTAGTGGTGTCCTCGGCAAGAAACTAAGGAATGCAACTAATGAAACTGTCAATTTAAAGAATGCATTGATCTTTCCTACACATTGACAGTTTAGCATTTCTTAACCTCTTCTTGCATGCATAAATGTTCATTCATGACTGCAATGAGTTGATTAAATGTTTAAGCTAAACTTACAAGTGTTTGGTCTAGGATGGTATGACATCAAACATGAACTTAATTGATCATAAACAAACAGACATAATGTCTCTAATGGTTTACAACACTACTTGAGCTTGCTGAGTGCACATGGGATTTTAATTGATCATTAAAATGTCAGTAATAACCATGATATTTCTACAGATGAACATTTGTACATCAACTGTGGAGGAAATGCAACAACAATAAATGGAAGCAACTATGAAGCTGATCTTGATCCACATGGAGAATCAAGGTTCTATCTGAGCAGTAATGGAGCCTGGGGATTCAGTAGTATCGGAATCGTTGAGTTTGCAAAAGACCAGAAGTACACACTAAACAAGCCGTGCAATATTTCCCTAGTTGATGCGCCTTTATACAAGGATGCGCGCGTATCTTCAATTTCATTGAAGTATTATGCATTTTGTTTAAAGAACAACCATTACATGGTGAGACTTCACTTTGCTGAAATAGGCTTGGATACGCCTAAAAATCCTAGGATCAAGAGAAGTAGAGTTTTTGATGTAGAAATCCAGGTAAATAGTCTATTCAAAGTACAAAAGAACTGAAAGTTTACAAACCAGAGATTTTACTAACCAAGATTAATTGTACTACAGGGCAAGAAAAAAGAGAAAAATTTCAATATCGAAGCTGTTGCAGGGGGTGTGAATTTGAACGCAACCCTGGAATATAATGACGTTCATGTTCGTGACAACCGATTGGAGATTCACTTGTATTGGTCCGGAAAAGGTTCACCTTTCGCACGTTACCGTGGTCCCCTAATATCAGCTATTTCCATATCTCCCGGTATTTGTTATTTTCTTCTTTGTATATCGTACACTTTTTTTTTCTTCGTCTTTTGCTTTCCAGGATGTGCAATGTCTTGCTTTTCTGACTGATCTTTTGGTATTTTTTACTGGAATAGTTCCTAAAAGGCATCTGAAACTTTCTTCTGCAATCATCGTTGGAATTGTTGTATCTTCAATACTTGCTGTTATATTAATCTTAGCTCTCTTCTGGAAGTTCGGCTGGCTTGGTGGAAAAAATAATAAGAATGTCGGTAGGTTTATCATTGTGGCACAAAGCTGAAATTTAGTAGAATAAACTATAATTCTATGAGCACATCATTTGGCTCAAAAGCTATTTCCTTTCTATTGTTATGCTTGAGACAGAACAAAAAGGTATCGAGCTATTCCCTGGAGGGGTTTTGAACTTCCAACAAATAAAAGCAGGTACTAATAGTTTTGATCCTAAGAACAAGATAGGCCAAGGAGGTTTCGGGGATGTCTACAAGGTACGGTATATGCATCAAAATGATCTTAAATAGTCAGCTTTCAATCACTTTATCATTGATATAATGTCTCGGTTTTTTTCCCGGTGGTCTGTTTATTCAGGGTGTGCTACGAAATGGGACTATAGTAGCTGTAAAAAAGCTTTCAGCAAAGTCCAAACAAGGAGCCAAGGAATTTATAAATGAAATTGGTACTAGTTATGCTTTGCAACACCCAAATCTCATAAGGCTATTGGGATGTTGTGCTGAACAAAGCGAACTTCTAATTGTCTATGAGTACATGGAAAATAATTCTCTTGAGCAGGCATTATTTGGTAAACAAGACATTTTCTTTGTACATGCAACACGTTTAAAATCTCTGTAAAATTGCAGCATATGAAGTCTCTTAACTCGCTGGCATCTGCAGGTTCCGCAGAAGTCAAATCTAGACTAAATTGGCTGATAAGAGTTAAAATTTGCCGTGATGTTGCGAAGGGGTTGGCTTATATCCATGAAGAATCTAGACTTCGAATTGTTCACAGAGACATAAAACCGACAAACATACTTCTTGACAAGGATTTTACTGCCAAGATAACAGATTTTGGATTTGCCAAGCACAGCAAAGAGGAGAATCCTCATGCGATTACACGCATAGCAGGAACAAAGCACGGCAAAGAGGAGAATCCTCATGCTATTACACGCATAGCAGGAACAAAGTAATCCAACAAGTTCTCCAGTACAATCTGAGATAAGAAATTATTTCTGCATTTTTAAATTCTTGTGATGATTGCCTCTTAACATGAAAGACATCTGCAGGGGGTACATGTCACCTGAGTATTTACAAGGCTTCTTGTCAACGAAAGCAGATGTCTACAGCTTTGGCCTTGTCACACTAGAAATTGTTAGCGGGAAGCAAATTTCAACTTTTAGGGCAAAGGATCAGAATATTTACCTTCTGGATATAGTAAGGCAGCTGCAAAATACAAATCAACATAGACACATACAATTAAATTGATTTTTTTCCACCTTGTATTGATAGCTATTGCTTGGGCTTGTCTACACTTTTCAGGCTTATGATTACCAACACCAAGGAAATCTTATAGCTCTTGTTGATCCAAGCCTAGGATCTGATTACACCCACAACGAAGCGCTAAAAGTGTTGGATTTAGCAATGGAGTGCGTGAACCCAACTCCCAAGCTTAGGCCATCAATGTCTAAAGTTGTGAAAGTTCTTGAAGGAATTGTAAAAGATGTAGAAGCAAAATGGAAAACAAAGACTTCCTCTACTGGAAACACTTCTTTGGGGGATGATTCTTCAATGGCCAACCCCGATTTTGCTTTCTCTCATTCTACTCAATCAGCTGGGAGTACATCCCAAGAAGGTGCTTCAGATATAATCATTTGTCCTTCAACAAGCAAAGAAATTGACGACTCCAGCAACTCGGACGATTAACATGCCAAGGCTGGAAATTAACCAGGAATCACTACCATGGTAGTCTTCCCTTGAGCATTGATAATCCTAATTTTTGTGAATGACAGCATTCATCATGCATTATTGCATTGAAGTGTCTCTGCAGTTAGCAGGTTATAGTATTTAAGCTGCTAAACAAGCCTTCATAAAAGATATTGGCTCATCTATGCGTGGAAATGATGCAAATTATTGTATGCTATCTCAAGTATAGCCAATATTAATGCAAATTCATGTCTATTGGAAGTAATTTGCAGTTTTTTCAAGTAGTTATGGTGATTAAAGAACATGATTACCAGAAACTAGCCTCCTTCGCATAAGACTTCACACAGCTACTGAGCAAGTTGCATAAATTTCAGCATTTCAACACTTCATTTAGATGGGAACAAATGTTAAGCTACATTATCTCATGCGCTAAACGTCTTCTTCTTCTTCTTCTTTTTTTAGTTCTTCCTTTTTTAACTATAAAAAACAAAGACCAAATTTTCTTTCGTTCATCTTAGAGATATAGGATATGTGGCATTATGTTAAGTTGGTATAGATGGCTAACGAAAAGAATTGAAAGCTGGACATTTTGCCGCTTGGAGGGGGTTTCAGCATAGGAGCGACGTCCCTGAAATTAGATGGATTTGAATTTTGTTGGTAAGCCTTTTCTCACATGCTATCCAGAGAGTGCATAACTTGGTATATGGTACTTTCCTCCTACTAGCCTCTGCCAAAATACAATTTTGTTGAAGACACCTTATTTTAGCTTAAAGTGTAGGTAGGAGTTCTTGACCTCAGAAGCGCTTACTTTTATTCCATCTCCCATATCATTCAACTCATCCTTCCCCCAATTTGGAACCTCTACGGGAAATTTGGCCTTTTGTAACAACATTCTCAGTGACAACAGAGAAACTTGTCATAATTGAGAAAATTCAATGACGACTTTTGATGTCGTCATAGTTGCACGGGGGTACACTTGTCAACAGTGACAACACGAGATAAGTCGACATAATATGGATGACGCACAGCTAGCCAGTGTGGCGGGAGAGCACCATTGTGACAACTGGAAAATAGGTTGTCACTGAAATAGGTCCTATAATGACAACTCAAAATGTCATCACAACATAGTTGCCGGTTCAAAAGTAGTAACAATAACTACTCGTTACTGTCCAAAGTGTTTGTTCCTAATTCACTTTCACTACTTCTACTATGTCACTCTAATTTTTTCAATATGACCCATATGTTATAAATAAATTTTATTAATTCTACTTTGACAGCGTAACTTTTACAATTGAACCCCGTATGTGGTAATTAATCTAATTAATTTTACCATGACACCTTATATTTTTCAATTTAGGTTCGCATTGTGACGATTTGTCACTGAAATAGTGTGACGCCCCCACTTCTCCCAAGGGCGAACCCAAAGGTATCAGCGGGACGCCTGCCCAACTTTCGCCAGGATTCGGTACAATCCATAATTCAAAACTAGAAATACTTCAAATAACTTCAATATATAAATTTAAAGTACTCCAAAACACTTCATACTTACAATAGTCAGCTCTCAAGCTTAATACAACTCAAAAGAATATTTACTACAGCCATCTGCTGTAGTACAATTTAAAGTTTTCAAAAGAAAACAATCTAGTACTATTCACGAGTACCCTTGGTCTTGAATCTTGTTAAGGAAAACAAAAACGTGGAATGAGCTACACAGCCCAGTGAGGTTCCAAGACACTCTAGCAGTTCTAATAAATCAATTAATTTGAGCATACCACATACATGGTTCAAGGTTGCATATTGGGCACCTTAACATGAGATAGTCATCATTGTACGAGTACTTTGAGCATAACATAAGCATGGTTCAAGATTGCACCTTTGCACATTAGCATGATACAGTTATCATTGTACGAGTAATTTAAGCATATCACAGGTATAGCTCAGGGTCGCACGTTGGCACATTAGCATGAAACAGTTATCATTATGTAAAATAAACACACATTGAAGGATAAGGTGTTCCAGTGGAACCATTTCGGTCAACTGCACCTTATAACTTCAGAATCCCCTCGATTTGTCTGGCCATCACCTTATCCCTCTAATGGTAGTACTCGAGTATACCGAAATGGTGGCCCAGGGTTCCAACCTACCCGACCGAGTCCAGTCCTGACTCGAGTAGGTTAGTAACCAAGGGCAAAGCCCAGTTCAATTTAGAGCTTACAACATGCACAAGTAATCAAATAAATCGGTAAACGGTAATGTCGCGCCCCATTTTTGGCGATGGAAAAATAAATAAAGGGATGTTTATAAAAGATGTGATCTTATTTAAAAATAAATGACAGGGGGACCTAGAATGGGACTTTAAAAAATGCGACAATTTGGGTCCAAAAATTTAGTCTAAAAAGGTTTTGAAGAAAAATTAGGAGACGCCACTTGGTATCGAGTTTGGGTGTACCAAGTCACCCAAAAAGTGTGTTTAAATAAAATAAAACCCTTTTCGACAACTCCAGATCTTTGAAAAACAAGAGAAAATGGATTCGGGAATCACGGTTGAAGAAAGGGAAGGCAAAGGTTCGATTAATTCAAACCTAAGGCACCCTTTCAACCTAGATTAAGCTAGTTGCGAGATTTAGTCAAAAATTTTCTAATCTAATCCTTAATCTTTTCACATTTGGATGTTTCCTATATGGATGCAAATCTAAAAATAAAAATATTGCAAGGGACAAAATGTTCATTCAAGGGTTTAATTGAACCAATCGCATTGATTGCGAAGATCAAAATAATTCCTTGAATGTGTCACGAGTATGCAAATGATGAAATTAAAAGGAAAGAAATTAAATTAAATTATATACATAGATATAAGTGATCAAAGAAAAAGGGAATGCAACATAAAGGGTACGGGAAGCAAAAACTCGCGACAATAATTTTCTTATACAGGAATTAATGGGATATTTAAACTAAAAATTTATATTCACCCATTTCCCATGTTTGAAAAATAATTCTCATAATATGCACAAGCAAATGAGCTAACTTATTATACAATGTCCTAAATGAAATGCAATTCTAAATGACATGATTAACAATATAGAGGATAGGGGATAATATAATAGGAAATATCATGCAAATGGGAAAAGATCCTAAAAATGAAAATATGCGTGAAAATGTAATGAATATCACACAAAAATGAGTCTAACGCAAGAATGATTCAAGGGTCTAGCATTGGACTAACCCGTTTCTAAAAGTCCTTACTAGCGTTGGACTAGCAAGTAAACGGAGGGAGAAGCCACAACTAGCGTTGGACTAGTGTGGTGACGTCATGCATTAACAATTCATAGCGAAACAAATAAAACATAAATTAAAACAAATAAACACATAAGAGCACGTAGCACATAACACGTAAACATAATATCTAGATGCCAAAATCCTAAGAAAAGCGGATAAAACACATAGCACATAAGCCACATAAACACGCAACCTATCTATTACATCGGGGAGCGCCTAACTACAATCTAGAAGGAAAAATATAATGAAACAAAACTAATTATCCTATCTATTACATTTTGAGGTATTTAAATGCCTCTCGAATCATTATAAAAATTAACTAAAACATATATAAGAAAATTTTGAATGAATATTTAAATCAAATAAATAAAGCATATAAAGATATATAAACACATAGGAACACATAGGAACACATAAGAGCACGTAATTGACATTGGAATAATAAAAATAGGGGTACATCCCGTTTGAAGTGGTGACTAAATGGAGTCAAATTGTCCTATTTATACTCACAGTGAACAAAAGAATCATGGCACCACTTTAATTGAAAATAATAATAATGTTAAAATACTAAATTCACATTAACATATCAAACGCAAAGAAATTTAAGAACATCTAAAATTTGCAAGTTAAATATACTCAAAGTAACATAATTAGCTATTAGAGAAAAGAAACAATCACAACAAAAAGAGTCAAAATTCACTAGGGACTGAATTGCAAAAATTAAAAAAACTTTTGGGGACAAATATTATATTTTTCCAAAGTTCAGAGGTCAAAAGTAATAAAAGATAAAATTCAGGGACCAAAGTGCAATTAATTTAAGGACATAGATGAAAGGAATTTAAAATGTTCTAGGCCGTAGTAAAATTACTCCAAAGATCAGAAGCTAAAGTGCAAAAATCGGTTTCTGATCTTCTTAAGAAAACAGGCCACTGGGCCATCATTTTATTTATTTGGGCCGAACACTCCCTAAGCCCAGCCGAAAGTCCAAGCCAAAGACACAGGCCAGCCTGCCTTTTAATCCCTTAAGCCCAACCGATACCCAAAAGAAATAAACCAAAATCCATTTTCAAAACCCAACCAAAAATAACCACAAACCCACAAAACTTAGCCCAATCCATTTTCTTCTTCTTTTCCTTTCTTTTCTTTCCTTTTTTTCTTCCTTGCCCAATCGTTTCTTCTTCCTTCTTCCTCGGCCAACTGAGGAGGACCTCTCCGGTCACCAAAATTTCTCAAAATACACCTCTCCACTTCATTTTTCGCGTAGATCCCATTTTTGAAGTTACTTTTTACAAAAAACGACCCGAAAGTGGCCAAAATGCTAAAAAACAGCCCAGCTTTTATTTTTTTTAAAACCTTTAAACCTCCACCAAAAATCATAAAAATTATGCCAAAACCCTCCTTATAGCTTCTACATTACAACTATGATTTTAATTTGACAAGAAAACAACATAAAAAGGCTAGAATAAAGCAAAACAGCCCCCTAAAATTCTTTTTTCCATTTTGGCATTTTCACAAGCACTTGACATGCATATACAAAATCATTCTTCTTTTCCTAGTTTTGTTCATGACATCCAAAAATTCAGCAACCCAACAACCCATAAAACCAGCAAAATGAAACAACAAACAAAGCAAACACACATACATTCAATCTAATTAATTAAAAAAATAGAAAAGCATGGAAAAAAAAAGGAAAAGGAAATACCTCAATGGAATTTGTATTCTCTTGGCTGAAGTTTTGATGCAATTCCCAGCTCCAATTGTTCTGTTGCTGCCTTTTTCTTCTTCTCCTGTCTTTTCTTTTTCTTTTTTCCGATGCCAAGAGAAAAAGCCAGTGGAGACTGAGGACTTGTGTAGCAAATTTGGAGAACTCCCTTCTTTTCCTCGTCTGATGCCTTTGGAGAAAACTGAGAGGGAGTCTTTTTCTGCTAGTTTTGTCTTGGAGGAAAAAGAGAGGACCGAGAGCTTTTCCTTGAGCCCAAAAGTGGAGTT